TTCTATTCTATTCTATTCTATTCTATTCTATTCTATTCTATTTCTTTCGGGATAGTGGGGAATGGAAGTCAGAGCTGAAGAAGCTTCTGGGATGAGAAACGAAACCTCTTCAAAAGGAAAAAAAAAAACCCAGAAAGTCCAGTTGCCTTCTGAAAAAAAAAAAAAAGGCATCTCTGGGACAGCCATGACCTGGATCACTTGGGAAATCTCTACAGAATTTTTGCAGGTGTTGATTTTTGCAAACCCATGGGGAAAAAAATAATATCGTCTCCCTGAGGCCACTTTGATCTTTTAAAAGCCCCGAAACTCTTAAATCCGCCGCTGCTGGTGGGCGGGCCCCATTTCACGGTGCAAACCAAGCTGCCTTTTTTTTTTTTCAAAAGTAGCCCCCGAACCTGCTTAAACCACGTTGTGGGGTAGGGAAGGAGGCGAGAGGTCGGAAAAAGCCGAAGGAGGCTCCTGCCTCCTTTCGGGATATGCCGGAATAATTCCGATTGGGGTTCGGGGTCTTCCGGAAAAGCGCTCGGCCACGCTTGACGTCGGCTTATCCTACGGAGGGGGTCCCTCCTTCGGCATCTTCCGGAGGGGCTCGGCAAATCCGCCCGTATTTGCGATTGGCCGGGAGAAGACGCCTCTTTCTCTCTTTCGGCCTTTTCCGGAAAGGCTCGGCTCGGCTCGTTCCGCCCGGGCCGGCGGCTGGAACAGTCGGAGCCTGGCTTGGTTTTGGAGTGGACGAGCGGCGGGTCCGGGCTCGGGCATGGCATCCCCATCGCGGAGGCTGCAGACCAAGCCGGTCATCACCTGCCTGAAGAGCGTCCTCCTCATCTACACCTTCATCTTCTGGGTGAGGAAGGGTCTAGGGAACAATGGGGGGCGGGGAAGGGGGTCCCTCCCCTCGCCCTAGACGGAGGGGCAGGGCAAGAGGGGGGCGTCTTTCTCTCCTTTCCACCCTCATCCCCCCCCCCCAATTGTTTTTTCGAAAAGGGGGGGGGCGCTTTTTGAAAAGGGGGGGGGGGGGGGGGGGGAGAGGACTACATGCCCCATCATGTGTAGCACAGCCCAGGATGGGGCTTCTTGGTCCCACATGCCTGGAGGCAACCCGGGCATTGGCTTAGCCCCTTGTGCAAAAATAAAATTTATTTATTTATTTATTTATTTGATTTGATTTGCCAATTGTTTACAAGATAATAAGTATAAGTGTATACATAGTTGTGAATACATGAAATGGGTACATATAAGAAAAATAAAATAAAATAAAAAATAAAATAAAACATAATATTCTACTCAGCAGTTTTTTGAAACTTGAAAAACTTTTTGAGATTCATGGACTTCAACTCCCAGAATCCCTCAGCCAGCTGATTTCTTGAAGCCAGAAGTCTCCAAACTTGGCAACTTTAAAACTTGGGGACTTCAACTCCCAGAATCCCTCAGCCAGCTGATTTCAAAGCAGGGACCCTTTGCTTTAAGCATTGTATGCGATGGGACTATGCAGTCACCGAGGTTTTTTTCCCCTTCTTCTTCCTTGCATGAATTTGCAAAACTCTTGCATCTAAATATCACTTGCACGAAGGCTGTTCTTTCCCATTTGCCCTATACTTTGCATTTCTTAATCAGCTTGTGGCATTCCACCTGAACGCTTTTGGAAGTGGTGTGAATGGAACCCAGCCCTTGTAACTCTGGAGTCATGGCTTAATAAAGGAGGAGGGTGGACACTCAAAGAGAAGTGGTAGCTTCAGACCTTCCTTATAATCCTGCAAACTTTGGAGTTTCCAACCAGAAAAAATAAATAAATAAATAGAGGAAAGGTTATTGATGTAGCGTGAAGGGGGTGTTTTTTTTTTTAGTTCTCTATCTACTGATGAGATAATCTGGGAGTAATCAGGGTTCCAAGTTCAGCTTATTATTATTATTTTCCCCCCTGCCCTTGTGCCTGACCCAGAACTTGTTGCAACCTTGAAAGTTGCAGAAAGTTTTGTAAGCTGAACCCAATTTCCACGCAGCAAGAGGAAACATCTCCTTTCTCTTGTATTTTTTTAATAAGTTTTTATTTATTTTTTAACTTGAATATATCATCTTCCATTAAACAGCATGTCGTCTGGGTACAAACATCACTGTGCTATTACAATAAAAAATTGCAATATTCGTTACATTGGTAATAATTCTCTAATCTTACAATAATAATAGTAATCAGCATTATAACTCTATTCATTTCTCCCTACTAGAATAGAATAGAATAGAATAGAATAGAATAGAATAGAATAATGGAATGAAGAATAGAATAGAATTCTTTTATTGGCCAAGTGCGATTGGACAAACAAGGAATTTGTCTTTGGTGTGTAAGCTCTCAGTGTACATAAAAGAAAAGATACATTCGTCAAAAGCCAAGAATCATAAGGTACAACACTTAATAACTATAGGGTACAAAAAAGCAATCAAATCATATTAGGAAACAGTCAATAAAAATCGTAAGGATACAAGCAACAAAGTTACAGTCATACAGTCACTAGTGGAAGGAGGTGGGTGATATGGAGTGATGAGAAGATAAATAGTAATAGTATATTCTAATGAAAATATAATAGGTATAATCTTAACAATCATAATTATAATATTGTTTACACCTCTATCTTAACATATTCTTTATTTCACTAATCTCCATTTATTTCTCACTTCTGTTTTTATTCTCCAGCCATCCCTAAAATAGCTCCCATGCCATATAATATTCAGTTTGTTCTTTCTCCTTTATGGCAAGCGTTAATCTGTTCATTTCTGCACATTCTAATCACATTCTCATCCATAAGGATCTCATCCTATTTCCCCCATCGGATAGAACAGCAGCATAAAAACAAGACACACTATCCTACACATACAAAAATATGTGTATATTTTTTCTTATATTTGAAAAAAAAAAAGCATTTAAAAAAAGATTTAAATATTGCGAAGCCCCAAAGCTACACCATCACATTTGCTACGGTGCAAAGAACAAGAGGGGAATTTCCAAGGGGGGGCGAGGTGCCCTATGGATTATTATAATCTTCCGTTTATTGACCATTGGAAGTTACAACAGGATTGAAATCATCGCCCATCATCCCATCAGTGCCGAATAAGCTTCTTGGATGAGAAGCAAAACGTCTTGTGGGAGGCTTCATCACTGGTGGCTTTCAAGAAGAAATTGGACTACCATTTGTCAGAGATGGTGTAGGGTCTCCAGCTTGGGTGGAGGGGTTGGACTAGATGACCTACAATGTCCCTTCCAACGTTGTTATTCTGTTCTATTATTACCACTTTTCCAATTTTGTGCAAATACTCCTTCCTCTTGTCGATGGGCCTCTGAAAGACCTTCAGGGAAGAGAAAGGAAATTCACGCTGTCCCACTTCTCAAAGGAATGCATATTCTCTCTCTCTTTATCTACCTCTTCTTAGATCAGCAATAAAGTTTTTTTTTCCTCGGGGGTGCAACCAGCCTGATGAAAGACACCCCGCAAAAAAGAGCAGAACATCCCGCTGTCCGTCAACACCCACCCACGTTGAAATAAGACACTTTGAAATGTTTCAGAGAATAGTTTTCGCCAGTCCTCCCTAGGTTTAGTAAACACATAATAACCTCATTGCTTTGATAAGGTGGGACCTCATCCTTCAAGGAAAGGGCTCAGCAAGGAATAGTAACCCTCTCTGATAGGTGCCAGGCCCAAGGTCTTGCACCTTTCTACTTTTCTCATTTGTTTTCAAGTTGCCAGCTTGCTTTGCTAGTTTTTTGGGGCGCGGGGTGTGTGTGTGTGAATAGCAATGTGTGGAATGCAGTCAGTAACTATGTCCTTTCCTTTCAACATTGCTGCTCCAGGCTTTGGATTCAGGTGAGTGTGGCTTTTTCCCAGGAAGCAGCAGTCGGTTCTTTTGAATGCAAGGCGCTGTTGTTTATCTTTGCCTCTTTCCACAGAAGAGAAATGGAAGGCGATCGGTGTACTGAATGTGGGAATGGGGGTAGGCGGGGAAGCGGGATTTCGGCAGTGGGGGTGGAGGGTGGAATCCCCAAGGGCTTGGCTTTTGAAGGACTTGTGGAAACTGGCTGTAGAGTTGAGAAAAATCCTGAGATAGTAGTAGGAAGTAAAAGAGAAAACAAAGCTTCATAGAGGCCGGTTAAATCTGGTTGAACAATCTACTGTGCAATTCAATTGCACGCTTCCCATAGGATGGGGAGCATTGCTGGCCAAAAACTTTTAAAAAGTTAAAGAGTTTTTAAAAGTAGAACCTCTTTCTGAATCCTTAGCAAGATGACGGGCTCCATAATTTTAGGAGGCAAGGCCATCATGGATTATCAAAGCCGGTTTGGTCTAGTGGCTAAGTCACGAGGCGAGAAACCAGGAGATTTGAGATTTCTAGTTCCATCTTAAACATGAAAAGCCAGCAAGATGACTTTGGGGAAATCCCCAGGAGACCGTGAGTTCTAGTCTCACCTTAGCCATGAAAGCCAATTGGTTGACTTTGGGCCAACCACCAGGAGACTGTGAGTTCTAGTCTCAGCCATGAAAGCCGATTGGGTGTCTTTGGGCCAACCACCAGGAGACCGTGAGTTCTAGTCTCACCTTAGCCATGAAAGCCAATTGAGTGTCTTTGGGCCAACCACCAGGAGACAGTGAGTTGTAGTTGTGCCTTAGCCATGAAAGCCAATTGTGTGGCTTTGGGCCAGTCCTCTCTCAGCCCAATTTACCTCACAAGATTGTCGTTGTGGGGGGAAACAGGCAGAGGAAGGGGTATTACATACGTTTGCCACCTTGAGTTATTTATAAAGCGATAAAGACAGGATATAAAATACTATGATAAATAAATTGTACCCAGCCACAAATCTTAAGCAGGGGTGTACCTTTTTGCTTTCTCTTGTGCCATCTTTCTCAGCCCTGTTGGAAAAGATATCTGGCTTTCCTTGATGGAGTTGGCTGAAATGGCAAAACTGACTACTTTGATTAAAAAAAAGAACAAAAATACTTTTGTTTCCACATGGAAACCGCTTCTGAACTTCGTGCTTGAGGTGGAAAAGAATGAAAGAATGAAGAAGAAGAAGAAGAAGAAGAAGATGATAACTGAGCAATCAAAATCATACTAGGAAACTAAATAAAACTAAATCGTAAAGATACAAGCAACAAGGTTATAGACATAAGTAGAAGGAGGTAGGGAATAGGAAGGATGAGAAAAAGAATAGTAATACAGTCTTAGTAGTTAATTTGACAGTGTTGTGGGAATTAGTTGTTTGGCAGAGTGATGGCACGTGGGAAAAAACTGTCCTTATGTCTAGTTGTTCTGGTGTGCAATGCCCTATAATGACATTTTGAAGGTAGAAGTTGAAACAATTTATGTCCAGGATGTGAGGGTCTGTAGATATTTTGACAGCTCTCTTTTTGATTCGTGCAGTATACGGGTCCTCAATGGAAGGCAGGTTGGTAGCAATTGTTTTTTCTGCAATTCTAATTATCCGTTGAAGTCTTTGTCTTGTTTGGTTGCAGAGTCAAACCAGATAGTGTTTGACGGTTTTGAACTTGGGTTGAAGCAGAGCTGATCCGCATCAATGCAAGGGTAGCGTAGAATCACAGAGAGTTCTGGTTAGGAGAAAACAGCTTGTTTGCAAGGGAAACATCTCCTGAAATGCTGCTCTTTTGACTCACACATTTCTTTCTTCTAACTTTCCAGTTCTCTGGCATCATCCTCCTGGGCGTTGGGATTTGGGGCAAGGTGAGCTTGGAGGTCTACTTCTTTCTACTGAATGAGAAGGCCAGCAATGTTCCTTACGTCCTGATCGGGGCAGGATTGGTGGTCGCTCTGCTGGGCACCTTTGGCTGTTTTGCGACCTGTCGCGGAAGCACATGGATGCTGAAACTGGTAATGGTTTCAAATGGCTTTTGGGTTGAACTGCAAGTAACTGGTTGGGATTTGCAATGTCAGGCCAGGTAAAAATAAGATGCAGGCATGATACTGTTGGCGTGGCGCATGTGGTTAGAATGCAATACTGCAGGCTACTTCTGCTGCCTGGCGGCTGCCGGCAATTTGGCAGTTTGAATCTCACCAGGCTCAAGATTGACTCACCCTTCGAGCCTTCTGAGGTCAGTAAAATGAGGACCCAGATTGTTGGGGACAAAGAGGCTGACTCTGTAAAGCACTGTGAAGCGGTATATAAGTTTTAAGTGCTATTGCCCTTCCTTCCTTCCTTCCTTCCTTCCTTCCTTCCTTCCTTCCTTCCTTCCTTCCTTCCTTCCTTCCTTCCTCTGCCCACTGCCAGAAGTTTGATTCCCACCAGCTCAAGATTGACTCGGCCTTCCATCCTTCCAAAGTCAGTAAAATGAGGACCCAGATAGTTGGGGACAATATGCTGACACTGTAAATAGTACACTGTAAAGCAGTGTGAAGCAGTATATAAGTCTAAGTGCTATTGCTATCTTCCTTCCTTCCTTCCTTCCTTCCTTCCTTCCTTCCTTCCTTCCTTCCTTCCTTCCTTCCTGCCTGCCTGCCTGCCTGCCTGCCTGCCTGCCTGCCTGCCTGCCTGCCTTCCTGCCTGCCTGCCTGCCTGCCTGCCTGCCTTCCTTCCTTCCTGCCTGCCTGCCTTCCTTCTTTCCTTCCTTCCTTCCCCTCCCTCCCTGTGGTTAGAATGCAGTATTGTAGGCTAACTCTGCCAACTGCCAGCAGTTCGATTCCCAACAGCTCAAGGTTGACTCAGCCTTCCATCCCTCCAAAATCAGTAAAATGAGGACCCAGATTGTTGGGGACAATATGCTGACTCTGTAAATAGCTTAGAGGGGGCTGGAAAGCACTGGGAAGAGGTATATAAGTCTAAGTGCTGTTGCTATTCTTGGACTTTCAATGGAAAATTTATATTCTGTATTTATCTAAATCCAGGACAGAATTTTAACCCAACTATCGTATTTACCGGACTATAAGCCGCTACTTTTCCCCCCACTATGAACCCTGCGGCTTGTACAACAATGCGGCTTATCTATAGATTTTTTCTTCGCTAACTGCCATCAGGGGGCGCAAAAACGTGACAGATGCAAGAGGTCAATGCAAAGAAGAAGATGCTACCGGTAGTTTTTGGTGCACTCGACACATATATATCTGCGGCTTATAGTCTGGTGCGGCTAATATATGTAAAAATATTTTTTTCTTTTAAAATTTAGTGGGTGAGGCGTATATTCCGATGCGCTCTGTAGTCTGGTAAATACAGTAGACCATACTTTATGATTTGGCTGGGTTTTTCCCCCTCTGCACAGCGTCTTTGTTATAGCTGGGGTACAGGTATTCCTCAGCTTTTAACAACCAAAGTTACGATGGTACTGATAAAAGTGACTAGTGAATTAGTGCTCTTGTTAATGGCTATGGCAGTGTCCCTACACTTGATCAGAATTTGGCCGCTTGGCAACTAGCGCGTATTGATGACAGTTGTACTGTCTTGAGGTCATGTGGTCGCCATTTGCAACCTTCCCAGCCAGCTTCTGTCAAGCAAAATCAACTGGAGAGAAAACAGATTTGCTTAATGGAAGTGGACTTGCTTAACAAATCACTTATGCATAACAACTGCAGAAATAAAATTGGGAGGGACTCAACGACCGTAACAGAAGTTCTGGTTCCAGTTGTAGTCATAAGTTAAGGACTTTAGGAAAAAGTGCAAAGAAGAGCAACTAAGATGATTAAAGGCCTAGAGACTAAAACCTATAAAGAATGGTTGCAGGATTTGGGTTTGGCTAGTTTAGAGAAAAGAAGGCCTGGGGCTGACATGATAGCAGTGTTCCAATATCTCAGGGGCTGCCACAAAGAAGAGGGGGTCAAATTATTCTCCAAAGCACCTGAAGGAAGGACAAGAAATAATGGATGGAAATTAATGAAAGAGAGAATTCCAACCTGGAATTAAGGAGAAACTTCCTAACAGTGAGACGATTGATCAGTAGAACAGCTTGCCACCAGAAGTTGCGGGTGCTCCCTCACTGGAGGTTTTTAAGAAGAGGCTGGACAGTCATTTGTCTGAGGTGGTATAGGTTCTCCTGCTTGAGCAGGGGGCTGGACTAGAAGACCTCCAAGGGCCCTTCCAACTTTATTCTGGTTGATTAAATTGTTTATTCTTCTACAACAACATTGAGGGTCATGTTGATGTTCTTCATTCTTGTTTTCTGTCCACAGTATGCCATGTTCTTAACCATCATCTTCCTTGTGGTGCTAGTGGCTGCCATTCTGGGTTTTGTCTTCAGACATGAGGTGTGTGCTGTGTCTTCGACAATTTGCTGTTTTAATGGGGTAAAAATGGAACTTCCTGTTATTTTTCCTCAGGAAGTTTGCTGTAAGATCCTCTTTTGTTTTCCTGGAAAACTGTAGCTTGCCAAACAGCAAAGATTCCTGAAAAATCCTTCCAGTAAAGGTTATTTCATTCAGATTTGATCTCAGTTTTTAAAAACACTGTTTCCTAAAAAATTCCCTTCAAAGTGGTGTGTAATTTCATAGTAAATGCATTTGGGGATAGGAGTGTGTGTAAAATTGCCTCTAAGTTGTCCCAAACTTCTCTTATGTTCTATAAAATTTCAAAATGTCTTTCCAAACGAGCCTGTCTGACTTGTGACTGACATTTTGCACAGCCAATTTAGGATGGTGTTGTGTGTAGAAAACGTTTGAGTCCATACCAAAACGCGAATTATAATGTAAAATCCTTCCAATTCTAAATTCTTTGTATTTTTAGCATCGGCTATGCCTTAATGTACCAAAATGCATTTGAAAACATCTGCTTTGGCATTTTTGCTGTATAAAAATATGTGCAAATTGTCATTTTTTTAAAAAAAAATTAACACAAGAAGGTTGAAACTGACAGAAAATTACTACCTCTGATTTGAGTCATATCTTGAAATTGGCATTTTTCTATTTCTGCAAAGTCTTCTCTAAGAATTTACCATTCTGATATGTTATTGGGCCTTTTCATTCCTCTGCATCTCCCCTTACTTTTGTCTCATTCAAACGGCTGAAGTTGTCTTTTGATCAGGTGACAGCCTCACCTACCTGTACATGATGGAACTTTCTCCCTTTCCTTAAAGATAAAAGATAGTTTTAATAAAAACTATGAAAATGCTGTGAAGCGTTACAATGGGACCAGTGACGATCTTAGCAAAGCAATCAATGATGTCCAGAAAACAGTGAGTGGAAACCTTTTTTTTTTCTTCGTGTTTGTTATAACTTACATCCTTTTGGTTTGCTATAATGTATAAACATATAGCTTGTTCTGTCCCCAAAATACTTTGAGGTGAGTTCCCTAAATAAATCTTGAAAAGTAGGGGAAGCAACATTATGAACCCTGGTGAAATTTGATCTTTATTTATGGGAACTAGGGAATGAGATCTTACAAGATGAATTTAATTTTTTTTTAAAAAAAATGTTGACCAAAATATTATTCAGTATATTGTATGATTTTTTTTTCCATTTGGAAAGATACCAGGAATTTAGGATAGGTCCTTTGTACTTCCAAACTCCTGCCACAGGATGTGCCATCTTAGTGTTGGGGAGGTTAATAATAAAATGAATAATCTGGGATATGGAATTATAAGCAGGCTGTGAAAGATTGAATAGAATAGAATAACAGAGTTGGAAGGGACCTTGGAGGTCTTGTAGTCCAACCCTCTGCTGAACCAGGAGACCCTACACCAGTGATGGTGAACCTTTTTGTTGTGATGTGCCGAAAGCGTGCGTTCTGGCACCCACAATGCAATGCGTCCTGCCTCCCCGCAATGCGCGCTCAACATCCCCACCCTGCCCTTTTACCTGCACTGCGCATGCGCGCGCCTCTCAGTTGAAAACGGGCCTTCTGGAAATAGAATAGAATAGAATAGAATAATGGAATGAAGAATGTATAGAATAGAAATAGAAGAATGGAATGGAATAGAATAGAATAGAATGGAATGGAATGGAATGGAATGGAATAATGGAACGAAGAATGAATAGAATAGAATAGAATAAGAAAGAATAGAATAGAATAGAATAGATAGAATAGAATAGAACAGAACAGAACAGAAAAAGAGTATAATAGAAATTAGAATAGAATAGAATAGAATAGAATAGAATAGAATAGAATAGAATAGAATAGAATAGAATAGAATAGAATAGAAGAAAATAATCTTTATTGGCCAAGTGTGATTGGACACACAAGGAATTTGTCTTGATGCAAATGCTCTAGTGTATATAAAAGAAAAGATACATTCATCAAGAATCATCAGGTACAACACTTAATAAGTAGGGTACAATAAGCCATCATATCATACTAGGAAACAGTCAATATAAATCGTAAGGATACAAGCGACAGTCATACAGTCCCAAGTGGGAGGGGATGGGTGATAAGGAATGATGAGAAGATTAACAGTAATGCAGACTTTGTAAATACTTGGACAGTGCTGAGGGAATTATTTGTTTAGCAGAGTGATGGCGTTCGGGAAAAAACTGTCCTTATGTCTAGTTGTTCTGGTGTGCAGGGCTCTATAGCATTGTTTTGAGGGTAGGAGTGGAAACAGTTTATGTCGAGCATGTGAGCAGTCTGTACATATTTTCACAGCCCTCTTTCCAAGTTAGAGCACTTCTTGGAAGTCATGCAACAGGCTATTTGGACATTGGGGCATCCTATTTTCGGGTGATGATAGTTTGTATGTCTGGCCATGGTCATCTCGTGCTCCCTTGGTTTTTGCAGTTACACTGCTGCGGGGTAGAGAATTACACAGACTGGAAAACGAGCGACTACTTCAAAGAGAAAGGCATTCCCATCAGTTGCTGCAAACCTTCGGTGAACTGTACAGCTGATGACTTGAAGAACATCACCAGAGCAGGAGGCAAAGTTTACGAACGAGTAAGTGAAGGCCTGCTGATCTTTCTGGGTTTCTCTAGAATCTGGAAAAATGAGCTGATTCTTCCAAATTTTGGTTTTCTGGCAAGCTATAAGGACCAGGGGCGTGGCACAAAGGCAACACAGTCAAATAAGCAATAAAGAGTCCCTTTATTATCTCCAACTTTGCTCCTAATGTCCAGGTTACCTTCGGCTGGAGAAAATCTCTTCCAGGAACAGCCTTTAACTGTAGAAAATTCAATCCAAAACAAGGTACACACAAACTGTAACTTAAAATCCAAACAAACGAAGCTGAAGTAATTCACTTGACAGGGCAGGAGAAGGAATTTCAGATTTGAAAGCACAGCAAAACTCACACAGTTGGGAAGACTCCAGGAACACAGATAAGCCACAATGATACCAGATAAATTCAACAATTTGCTGTGCCTAGCTTCCTCTTTTATACACTGTGTTCCCAGCTGCAGCTAATGAAGGGAATCAGGGCCCTTTCTTCCCCTGTAAGCCATGCAACTCACGTTGCTCCCTTCTTCGTTCCTCCCTGCATGCCCTAGGATGAAGAGGGTGGGCCTGGGTCTTCCTCTGAATTCCCTCTCCCTTGTTCTACCTCTCCCCTGCTCTGCCCAGCCAGACTGTGCTCTTCCACAGCCAACCGAGCCACACTCCCACTCCCTGTCAGCTGTTCGGCTTCCCCCTCCGAGTCAGATTCCTACAGGGGCATGACAGCAAGCTGCTTAATGGTAGCTTTTTTTAAAAAAAAACTTACTCAGAAATAAATGAAAATAACCAGATTAAGCCACTCACAAAGTTAAACACGTTTTCAATCAAAAAAAAGAAGGTGGCAAATTGGTTCCCCATTCCTCCTTTTCCATGGACACCATGATATCACCACTTTGGCCTTTTTTTCCTGGGCTGCAATGAAGGTGCCCACCTTTGCATGAAGACATGGCTTTTTTTTAACAGAGTTTACTGATAAGCCGTGATGGATGCCTCACTCGGTGTTGTGTCATAAGGCAATGTCTGTTGGTCCAAGGGACACATTAGTGTTCAGACCCAGCTCCCAAACACGACAAACCCTCTGTAGTTAAATCAATGATTTCTTTATTAGGAGAGCCAGCAGCCCAGGCCAAAAGTCTGTCTGTCTGTCTCTCTCTCTCTCTCTCTCTCTCTCCCCCCCCCCCCCCCCCCCCCC